ATGAAGTCTTATTTATGTAACACAGTATACTGATATAGCATTTGTAATTAGTAAATTGAGTGGATTTACTAGCAATCCAAATGTAGAGTATTGGAAGACTCTTGAAAGAGTTCTTGGGTATCTTAAATAAACAAAAGATTATGGCCTATAATACTAAAAATTTCCTTCTATTTTAGAATAATATACTGACGTAAATTGGATATCGAGTTTCGAAGATAACAAATCCACTATTGGTTGAGTGTTCACCTTGGGAGGTGATATTATTTCTTGAAAGAATAAGAAACAAATGCATATAACTTACTTAACTATGGAATCGAAATTTATTACTTTAATAGAAGTAGGAAATGAGGCTAAATATTTGAGAAACTTTTTATTAGAAATTTCATTGACCTGTAAGAGTGTGAATTTAATTTCTATATTTTGTAATAGTCAAGCCATTTTAACTCATGCATATAATGAAATATATAATGAAAATTCAAGACACATAAGTATACGATTATGTGAGAAAATTAATTAAGAGTGAGATTATTTTACTCACATTTGTGAAAACAAGTGAGAATTTGATTGATCTGTTCACCAAATCTCTTACAAGAGAAGTTATAAGATCAACACCAAAATGGACAAAGTTGAAACTCCTTGAATAAAAAATCCACCAATGATAGCAATCCTACTCAACATTATGAAATGAGTAATGAAGAGTTCAAAGGGCAAGAACAAGTCATTAACATACGAAGTGGTTCAGCATTTTGAAATATTTTACTAGTTCTGTCTAAAGATGTTAAAGTGCTAGTTGTCATCGAATAATGATTGAGTTAATTATATTTTTAATAAAGTTCAGTCAAGTTAAGATAAGTATATCAAAGAGTGATAACAATATTATAAGAACTTCATCTATATGAACTTAGAAGTGGTGCCAAGAGTTAGAGTTTCTCTTATAAAAGTTCATAAACTTGGTTGAGCATAAGGCCATATTAAGACTGAGTGAGAATTTATAAGGAATGTAATAATATTATATTTATGTGTGTGGCACTATCGATATTGTCATTTGGAATAACAAATTCAAAACTTTTATGCTATTTACGATTTCAACTTCAATTTGTGATGTTTAGATTGAGATAATATTCAAATTGAAAGATATATTACTTTATTCATAAATATTATTTAATTATTTAAAAAATTTTAAATTTGAACTAGCGAAGGATTGTTATAAATTGGTCAAATTAAAAAAAGGTTTCTTTTCAAAATAAGTTATTTAAAAAGGTGATTTCTTTTCTAGTCATTTTGATAGTTATTTTTTAAAAATTATATTTTTATAAAAATATTTATAAATAAGTATTTAAGAGTAAATTATGATTATTTATATATTCTCTAATTTTTAAACAAAATTATTATTTACTCATCTTCTAAATGTTTATCATATCTATTAAACCTATTTATATCAAACTCATAGTAATTTTTATTGAGAAGAGTATATAAATATCATTTTTAAGAAAGCATTTATACACGTTTCAAACCTAAATATATTTTCTATAATATTTTTGATCTTATTTCCATAGCCTTTATCATCCTCTTCTTTATTATATTTTCCAGCACAAACAAGGCCAGATTTCTATCAAGTTTATCTCAGTTTTGTGTGGCTCTGATGGTACATACGGATGATGTTGAACCATGGTTTGATAGGCATCGCAAAACAAATGATACAAATGTACCATAGTGATAATAGTTGAGGGCCATACTTAGCACTACAGTGGACACAACCTAAAGATCTGACAGAGACTTCATTATCTCTTTTCCATTCGAAAAGAAAGAAATAAAATTAAAAGCATAAAAAATAAATGCTACCAAAGAACATTAAGCTCAAAGCATGCAGGACCAACCATCATAATAAAAAATATTAAGCCTCAATAGTTGGTCAGTTGATGATATAGAACAGCAAAAGTGCAGCTCCAATCCAAATCCAGCAGTAGATCTCATTTCATTGATGTATGAACACTTCATACTCCAAAACTGGTGCATGTCCATTTACTTATTTGACACAATAAGATTGTAATATGACCCTATAACAACAAGATCAAGGCACAATGAACACACACGATAAGCGTCTTGTAGTAGCCCGGATCTCATTGCATTGCGGTGACTGTCACAGGAGCAACAGAGAAGCCAGCGCAGTCCAATCCATGGCTCTTCCTGCACTCGTAGTAGAACACGGTGTACACGGCCATGGAGTACAGGTCCCACAGCCCGTTCACGGCCGCGATGATGCATCCGATCCCCATTGGCGTCTCCTTGGACCGAGGCGGCCATGAAGCCATGATGACCGCAGCAAATGCGCCGTAGATCGCCACCTTGACGACCAACAGCATGAGGGTGAGAACCATCCCTCGCTTCTTGTTGCCTATGTAGAGCTCCACGGACCAGGACAGCGCGCCGATCCCCCACGTCTCCTCCACGGCGGTGATCGCCAGACTCATCGACCATCGGGTCGACAGATAAAGATACAGAAGAAATGAGAGGATCGCCAAGCTCACGCCAAATCTGAAGACAGGTCTTGAGACATCGGCCTCCAACAAGACGGTGGCAACACCGAGCGAAGACAGGATCCCGATGCCGATGGTGAGGAGGACTATATAGAACCTTGTGATCATAGTTTGGTACCAGCGGCGAGAGATCCGGAGGAGGAGGTCATTAGGCGTCAAGTCAATGTCGATGTGAGCCATGGCAAAGGTGTACAGGGTGGCCAGCGCAAGGAACAAGTAGCAGAAGAAGAAGAAGAGAGTGATCACAGATGCCAGGCCAGCGAAGTCTTTGAGGTCCCTCTCAATGTCAAGGAGGAGGTTGGGAGGGCGGTGCTTTGTTTCCTTGATGAGGATTGAGATCTTGGAGACTAAATCGAGGGGGATTGGGGCGATGGAGTAGAAGCAGTAAAAGAAGAGGGAAGAGGAGAGGAGGGAGAAGAGGATGAGGGGAAAGAGGAGTTGACCAGACTTGATGGGGAGGTGGAGGGACTCCCAGAGGATTCGGGAGACGCTAAGGGGGGCGGAGGAGACTGCCAAGGCCTTGGAGCTGAAGCCCATGGTGGTGAGCAATGGGAGATCTGGGATTCTTGGGGAGCTGTGAAGTTGCAGATAAACACAGGGTTGGATGTGGCTATGGATTCTTTGGTTTCGTGCACCGAGAAGAGGGATGTTGTGTGGGAAAGATGAGCTCGAATTATTGAGCTGGTTTGGCCTGGGGTGAACAGGACAAGAATAAGCATTATTGGAATTGGAATGAGAGGAAAAATAATAATTTGATGTATTAATCTGAGAGACTGAGACAATTTAAAACATGATTAAGAAAGTTATAATTAGATTTTTAAGAACAAAATATGTATTTTATCATTTGTCTTATCCTATAGAGAAATCTATGATTAATTATAGATTATTTTCTGTAACTTACTAATCTTTTATATTTTATTTTTTATTTTTTTAAAAATTATATTAAAATATTTATACTTATGAAACTGAAATATGCTTATATAAAATTAAAAAAGATAATTTTATAAGATTAAAAAATTAAAAAAAAATTATTAAGAAAATAAAATTAAATATTTTACTTTCATAAATATAAGAATTTAATCTTGACTGTTAAAAATAATTAATTATATGAGATAATATATAATTAATCTAACATATTTATAATCTTTAGATATATCTTTGGGTGGATCCAACTTGGAGGCCCAAAAGATTATTGTATCATAAATTTTAATCGTTTTAAAACATATTACATATATTAGATAATTATTCTTTTATCAACTAACGATAAGACTTAATTAAAATATTAATTCAACTTCAATTGGTGCCATAATTCATGGACTAACTAATGGCATAATTTACCCTTTTCTATTTAAATATTAGGAAGTTGTGTCAATCATGTTGGAAAAGACAAACTGCAAGTGTTTCTTTGGCATATAAAATATTATGTAAGACACTTATAATAAGATTCAAATCTTTGATTATTTATCCTCTATTCCCCGTCTCATATGATAACTAATTCATTAACTTTTGACTCTCGATTATTATTTTAAAATATTTAGATCCATATTAATATTAATAGATTGATCAAACTCTCATGAGTTAATCTAAATCTTTATTTATTTTTAATAAATTTAGTCTTAATATTTTCGTCAAATATATTCTAAAATCATTCGAAACGCATGTATGAATAATCTTTTTTTTACTTAGAATTTATTAGACATTAATTGTCATAATCTATTATGACTAACTCAATAACTTGTCAAGTAAATGATCAAACTGAAGCTAATCATAGTATATTTGTTATGATATTATAATTTATGCTGGTCATTGGGATATCTCCTCATATGGGTAGCATTTGTTTCCTTAACCCACCCCAGGGTGTGATGAACCCTAATTGCAGGACATCCTACTTGCTTCAGAAACAGGGGGCTGATCTTTATGAGGCGATGAGCCAAATCTTTAAGCACCAGAGCTTCATAGAAGTTTCTCTTTGATGTTCTTTGAGCTTTGCCAGCATAAATGAATGCTTAGGCTCTTTGATGGGTTTGGTACCCAAAGCATGGTTCTCTGCTTTAGAATCAATGAGAATCCTTGGCACCGCCTTAGGATGGTCCAAAGTTAAGGAAGAAAGCAGCAGGAAGAAGACACACCATGAGCTGGGGAAGAAGGTGGGTCTAAGGTATTCAAGTGTGACCTTGCACCCACCCCACCGCCATAGTTCAACTGCTCCTGTGACCCTCACCGATGCCAGGTATAAATTTCCAAGCTGTTCTCGTTGAAGAATCTAAGTTTTCTGTGCCAAGTAGCGCTAAATCCACAGCCTGTAACCTGGCCTCTTTAGCTTGGCAAACCCCAGCAGCAGATGCATGCTGGTGAATGCATGACTCCACAGCTAAGCAGATGTGGATTATTGCCTCTGCATCCAGTGTAACTTTGACTTACGGTGATAGGAAGAAGAAAGTAGAAGTCAGAGGTACATTGGTGTGAAATCTTTCACGAGGCAGTACATTATTCTTCCTGGAAATACATTGACATGTGAACATGGACATGAAGTTTCCTTCTCTTCTCAACTTCTCTCAAACACTTGAAAGGGGAGGGAAGTAGAAGACACTCATGATACTATAACTACATGAAAGAACATTGATGAATCTCTAAATAAATTCCAACAGGAATAATCACAAAAACCATATAGAAATGGTCTATCTTTAGCTTCTTCTTCTTCTTTGATCACTTGAGAAATTGTAGCAATCCGAGGAACAAGTAATTGGCTAAAGATGGACATCAGAGATGGTCTCCTATCCTGTTCTGTCTCCCTACGATCCAGAGCAAAGTTCTTCTTGCGAATGAAGGTGTTTCATCCGCCCTTGATACTACACTGTTGTTGCAGCTCCCAGCATCCATCTCCAGATCCAGATCACTCCGGCTTTGGAACTCCGATGGTGCTGTGACTGTGCTGACACTCTTCTTCAGTTTCCGTTCATCTCTGTCTGCCATGCCAAGTGGCAACCGGAAAGAGAAAGCCCGCCTTGATGCGTCCTCAGCAATCGGCTCGTCCGTTCTTGATCGTAGCCAGATCTTTGAGACCGAGAAACTTTCCTTCTTGTGGAGATTGGCACTCATGCTTGCATTACCATCATCACCTCCGAGCTCCATTCTTCTTGATGCATCAAACCCGCTGAATCCATCTCTTTTCGAGTGGCAATCGCATTCTGACATCGCAACCCGGTGGATGGACTTCTTGAGAGCTGGCTTCTTCTTGGTTGGCCTTATAGCAACTCGAAGCAAAGATCTGTCATCCATCACATACTCGCGGGAACCCATGGAGAAACACCTCCTTTGATCCAAACCACTATTGCCGCTGGTAGTGCCTTGACATTGACCTCCGCCGATATCCAACCTCCTGAATTTTCCGAGCTTGACAGGCACTACTTTTGCTTCTGCAACCTCAGCAACTGAGATCCCCAACCCGACCTCCTCCTCTGCTGCGATTTCCTCCGGCTTCTGTGATGTATCGTTGATCAAAGACCGTAAGCCATCATCATCTCCAGGGAGACCAATGTTAGGACTTGGCCCATGTTCTCCCCTATCAGATGCAATCTCTCTGGAACTCTCACTGCTAGACTCGAGAACGAGGACTACAGGACGGCGACTGTCGTTATGGGAGAAGTCAAGGAGGAGGCACCTTCGACAAAGAGGACAAGTGGAGTGGGACAGCAGCCAAGTATCGATGCATTCCAAGTGGAAAGCATGGCTGCACTTGGGGAGTAGCCTGAGCTTGTCATCAGCCTCGAATTCGCAGAGGCACACGGCGCAATCGAAGGGATCTTTGAGGCCTATAATGGATTTGTAGTTGAAGACAGGAAGAGAGTCTATGAAGGACTGATCCACCCCTGCGTCGTGGAGATGGAAGAGCTGCTGGAGTTGGCCTTGGAAGACTGTGACATTGCTTATAGCATCCGGTTCCCTGTCGTTAGGCTTGAGGAGGTATCTCACGAGCAGGTGGAGAAGACCAGATACGAAGAAGATGACTGCTAAAATGACAATTATGAGAAGGATACTAGGAGTAATCCTGTTCTCGAAGTTAACAATAGGAGGAGGTGGCGGTGGTGGTAGGAAAGCTAATTGGAGGGGAACTGGAGACAGAATGCTCCGTCCTTTGATACTTTCATACAAGACCAAGTCCATGTTTTGATCTCCGTCCAAGCAACAGCATAAAGAGAGACCACAAGAAAGAAGAGAAACGCCCTTAGTATGAAGGACTGAGCAACACCGTAGACAGATCTCTGTGTTCTGTACTGCAAGAGGAAGAAGAAGAGGAAGGAAGAACAACTGTTGCAGGTGAATCTGAGGCAGTTTGGCAGAAGGGGGAGTACTAAATGGGTGGAGAGATTAATGGGGTGTCAGCTGATGGGGTCGGCCATAAATACATTTATTGCGAATGGGCGGTGAGAGAAGTGAAGAGCAATGGGGCTTATGCTAGAAAGGGTCTCTTTTTTAATGGCAACGTGAGACGTGAACATGGTAATTGGTAACGTACAGCAGCCTTATTATGTTAATCTTTTGGGAGATGCCGCTCTCTTCAAATCGGAAGGCTTTCTCCTCCCCCTTCCATTTGACTTCCCACAGAGCTTCTCTGCACCGGCCCCAACGCTCTCCATTAACCTTCTCTTCCATGCAACTGAGACAGAATGGTTCTGTTCGACTCCAGAATTCTCAGTTTCTCTCTGGTATTGGGATTGCTGCGTGTGGCTCTTCAATGCCTATTCACATAAGAAATAGGGGGGACAGAGAGCGAGAGAGAGAGAGAGATGCATGGATTGCGGTGGGTTGACACTGCAAAGGCGCAGGTTTCACGGCGGAGGGATCTCAACAATTTGTGCCGGCAAAAAGGGGAAGTCATGGACAAAACCAGAAGAGCTACGTTTCCTAGACCTTGTGTTTTATGGGGCTTTGGAGGTTTGGGGTAGGAGATGATGGGGTTTAACTTGGTTGCCAATTTGCCGGTGCCCAACATTGATCTTTCCAAGCCAATAATTCATGATTTGATGGTTCCTAATCTGCACTATCCACACTACAGGAGTGTAAATTAGGTGTCAGAAAAGGCCTGACATCACTTGAAATCTTTGCATGCATGAGGAACAAATGGATGCAGTGGCTCCGTTGCTGCACTTATCCTCACTACTGGAGTATGAAGTCACATCACTTGAGATCATGCACGAGAACAAGTGGCTGCTAATGTTCCTCTCCAATCTATGCTCTGCTCCACCCAAAGACAACAGTCAAACTCATCGAACTATTTTATCTTGGACGACATTTTTGCGTAGTGCAGAAGCACTTGGTTGCTTTGTAGAGCAGAGATACATGTCGCTGCAGTAGCTTTTAGAGTAGAGATGTTGAAGAGCTGCAATTGAGGCTGCGGCAGATGCCTACTGCTTCTACATTTCCTGCTGCAAGTGATATGGGCTGAATGAAGCTTTATTATATGTTTGAATACCGAATTTTAATGATAAATTAATGAATGAGGTTACGAATTAACGAGCATTTGAGAAGAATAATGTAGGATAAATTTTATTCATAGAAAGGTATATCAATTGAAACAGGAGAATTAGACATTGGGTCGGAGTTCATCATGTCAGAAATCGGGCATTGGACCAAAAGGATCCGACATTACGTCAAGAAAATCGAATGTTACTAGAGGTTAACATGTCAATGGATCGGGCAATACATCGAAGGAAAGAGCGACACGCTGAAAATTCGAACAAAGTGCCGAATGAATTAATGACACGTCGGACAACGTAAGCTTTTTTTTATTGTAATCGTTGTATCTTGATTGAAGTAGTTTGAGTGTCTAATTGAATTAGTTTTGGATGTAACAATGCCAACTTGATTAAGAGCTCATTGGGCTACATCAAAGTTGAATTAAGTTTATTGGAAAGTCAATTCAGTGACCTAAGATTGGGCCAGATAGTGGCATTGCTTGTGAGTTGGAAAGTACGAATTATATTTTTTCAAAAAACCCAATGGTGGTACCACTAAGGTCAGTGGTGCTACTGCTAGAACATAGTCTCCTAGACTATGTCAAGTAGTGATACCATCCAGGAAGGCGATGGTATCACACAATGCAGGCAATAGTACCACCAGTACCTAGAAACCTAAGAGTTTAAATTTTTGACTCCATTTTTGAAGTCATTTGGAGCCTATAAATATCTCACTCATGCTTGCTTGGTAGATAAATGAAAAGATTATGATATTAAGTATGTAAACTCTCTTAAAGTGTTGAGTCTCTTCCTCATTGAGTTTAGAAGTCTTTCTCATGAAGATATGTGTTGTTGTAAAAGAGATATGTGGAGATTTTCTCTTGAGCCTGTTAAAAGGAGAAAGGATTATTACAAGGGTAGTTGATCTTCGTCCATTGATAACAAGATCGGTAGTGAAAACCAATGACTTCGAGGAAAAAGAAATTGTGAGTGGACATAGGTTAGGACGATCGAACCACTATAAATCTAATTTATATTTTCCTTTATATTTTTTTATTTCTATTACTAATTGATTTAGTTATTCATTATTTTTACTCGTATTATAAGTTAAACATATTTTCAATATGAGTTTTATCCATCAAAATTTTTAAATCAATATTTTATTTCTAAAGCATTAACTTACCTCTTCTTGGTGCCTTTATGATCTTCACATTATGGTCTCTGCAACTGCTCTTCCTTTTCTTTCCGCTACCACTTGTGTATATTGCTGTCTAAACTATACTGGTTTCTAGCAATTGTTAAGATAAACCAATGAACTTTAATAATGTAAATATGTCGAATAATTGAATGAATTAGCTCAATTTTGAAACTCGTGGGCCTTTTATGGCCAGAGGTTGGGCTTCGGACACTAAAACAAGGTCCAAAATTAAAGTGGCCTAAAAGAGTCCTTGAACTTATCGTGATGCCATCAAATCGAGGTGGGGCCTTATACGCACCACGAATCAAAGATGGAATTTTTCTTCTGCTAAGCGACAAGACCCAACTACAAGCGAAGAAGATGGGAATCCAACCTGTATCCGCTCCATTTCTTCTTCTCTGGCCTTCAAGCATTTGATGTCCTCATAAACCTCCATGTCTCGATCAAACTTGAACCACCAAAGTGTCTTTTCCTTCCATCATACTCGAAGCTAGATATTTTTATAACAGTGAACATGAGGTCTCCAACGTACACCAACAACAAAGCATAGTCTAATGGAAAGTAGCAGTCAGCACCGGGATGTACAAAGCAAGCGAGCATAAGGGGGAAGACTCGTAAAGCTGCGGAATCCGAGGATCATCTTCTAAGGGTATCCTCCTTTCCATGCGTTGTCCCGCCTGTTGTTCCTGAAGGCGCAGCAGCCGATGGAGTAGACGATGACGAGGAAGACGAGGAAGATGATGTTGAGGATGGCGATCTTCTTCCACTTGTCCTTGATGTTGGCAATGACGCCGGCCTTGCAGGAGCTGCAGTCGTAGCAGAGGGTCGACTGATCGTTGTTCCACGTCTCGCAGTCGGTGTTGTTTGAGGCGAAGCCGGCGGCCGGCTTATTCCACACGGTTGCGTTCTCGTAGTCGAAGCGGCATTCTGAGGGAGGCTTGCAGCATCCAGACTACACGGAAAGGACGAAGATTACCAACCAAATAATTGCAATTATAGCAGACAACAATTGGCACACAACATTATTGGGGATGCACGTTGTGTGATATCATTCTATAAGAACTGTTTAAAGCATCATTGAAGGATATGTAAGTATTGACTTCACACGGTGTTGGATGCCTCGAACGATTTAGGAGAACTGACATGCCTTCCACTCGATTAAATGGGTGTGAGAAAATGGGAATTGACTGCACAATGAATCAGCACTGGAACTAAGATGAACAGTGACAAGAACTTCAAGAGAACCCTCGATCCACATACCAAGTTGACAACAAACACAGGAAACTGTTCATCTACAAGTAATCGGATCTCTTGGATAGAAAATTTCGACCATAAAAAAAAAGGGAGATGAAGAAAATCAAGAACCAGGAACAAAAAATGTCAATTATATGAGGTGGTGTGAAGCCATTGCCATCGATAGAGACCTATTAATTATGACAACCGGATAGCGAAATCCATAATGATTCCTTTTCATTCTTACAAACGAGGCCCACGCAAGGGAGTAAATTGTTAAGAAACATCACATTCAGATTTGTAATGCAAATGACAAAGTGAAATCCTGCAACAACAGACCAACATATCCAAGAAAATATCAAGATTGAAAACCATTGAAATTTATGCCGAAGAAACAAGAAATTTCGGAAAATAACAAAGAAGCAAGTTCACAAAGTGAGGGGAGTTCCTCCCTAAAAAAGATAGTAAGTAAACTAACAAGAATCCGAGTAAAAAACTCAAAGAAAGTGAAATTACTTGAAGATTTAGGAGGACATCAAATTCTTGGAGGACTACGAATTATTCCCTTATGAAATAATTTTACTTTAAGGTGAGTGGAGTAAAAGTTTTCCTTATGAAAACACAGAGAATAAAACCGTGTTTCCACGAGTCGAACAAAAAAGGTAACCGAAATCTGTGACTCAAGATTCGATCTTTACGCCTCAGATCGCAAAAAGATGAGATTTTGAGGGCACCTGGATGGGCGAGAGGTTGTCCTTGATGAACTGGTCGAGGGACAGGCTGGCCTCCTGCAGGCTCCGGCAGACCTTGGCGTCGGAGAGGCAGGTGCGGATCTTGGCCCAGTTCTTGGTTTTCTCCACCCGCTTCTGAAGCCAGTGGGAGTAATCGCCGAGGCGGTACTCCTTGTAGCCGCTGCCGGACACGACCTGGCCGGCGCCCTTATTGGTGACGACGAAGGCGAAGATGGTGAAGAAGAAGAGGAGGAGGATGAGGATAAACATGACGAAGAGGTAGATCCAGAGGAGGAGGGAGTTGCGGCAGCAGGCGCCGACGAGACCGGCGAGGGAGACGGCCATCAGGAAGGCACCCAGCACGATCATGGGTGTCTGCAGGAACTTCTCGCAGTCAGTTCCGCCGCCGCGGGTGGCCAGCCATATCCCGCCGCCCAGGATGGGCACCGAGAGTAGAAAGGTGATGAAGTTGAGCACCCCGATGAGGTTGTTGCTAAGCCGAAACATCCTCTCTTCCCCTTCTCTTCTCTTCTCCGAGCAGAGACACCAAAGAGGCCAGCCGACGGTAATAAAGTAAGGAAGAAGAGGTTTGAGTTGTATAGTGTGCTGGCCAGACGAAAGGGTGTGTGCGAATATATATACATATATATTGGTCGAGAGGCAGGAAAGTTCTCAGTTACTCATTGCACGCGTCAACCTTTCAACATACCCTCACGAACTACCCTCGTGGTAATTTCCTGCAGCTTTGGGCCCCAGAGGGCGTTCGTTCACATGGTCTCACCGTGTTGTACGAAGGGCAGGTGAAGTTACCGTCAACAGTTGACATCAGTACACCACGTCGTCTTTTCTTAATCCGACGTGTGCGGCACATGGGCAGTTACAGTCCTTCAAAATTACTATACTGCCTAATTTGTTATAATTAATATATTAGCTAATTTAGCAGTAATATTGGTTATTTATTTTTAATGATGGATCGATCGTATATTAAAGAGAGATTACACTTAACATGATTCTAATTGCGCTTTGAGTTATGATGCTTGTAGTAAACGAGTCAAGCCCAACCTGTCGTCTTAGCACAACAGAAAACAAATATCTGATATAAATAACATTAGTGATCATAATATCACGCATCATATGATGATGATGATGATGATGATGAGGATGAGGAGATAAGAAGCTATGATTGACGACGGGCGGGACGCCGCAGGACGTGTCACATGTGCGCTTTAAAGACGTGCTAAACCGCAACAGCTAATGGTCACATGTTCTCTGTGTTCGGTACACGTGTGTGGGGAGGAATCGGCACCGGCGGTCCCGAGAGAAGAGCAAGGTAAGGAAGCAACGGAGAAACGTAACGAACTTACTCCGTCCGCGTTACGTCAGTCGTCGTTTATCCACAACCGACGCGGTTGCGTTGGGATTTCGCGTTTCTTTTTTTCCATTTAAATGTGAGATTGCCACGAAATAATGAAATAAAATAATAAATCGAACTATTACACCCGTCATTTTGTACGTGATGTTTGTGTGGGTTATTTGTCGGTTGATTACGTCGCCTGAAGAGCCCAACCGAAGGATCAACAGAAGTTATATCCTCTCCGTGAGCATAGGAGGCCTGAGCATTCGCTTGGCCGCTATTTTGCAGCACACAAAAGCATTGGATCATTGACTCATTCGTAGTCATCTCCTTCAGAACACTATTAATTCCTCCCTCCCTCGCCCTCGTTACTTATACCATAGCATTCCACGTCCCTCGTCTGCCACAGCACTCAGCTTCCACGCATGGCCGAAGAGGCACCTGCCGATGTCTTCGTTCCACCCACAAAATGCCTGCCCAAATCGCCCTTCCCTCCGCCTCCTCTCTCCATGTCTTCCTCCGGTAGGATGACGAGGCTTCTCATACCTCTCGCCGTCTTATCCTACCTCCTCTCGCTCCCGGTGCTGGGGCTCGCCGTGTGGCTCCTCGCCACCCGCGATTACAACTGCGAGGACCTCATGCAAGCGCCACAGATCCGCACGACCATCGGCGTCGGCCTGATCCTCGTGTTCGCCATCAGCAACTTCGTGGTGTACTTCGGGCCGCGGTTACTCATGCCGTGCCACGTGATCCTCTCTGTGGTGCTCGTTGTGATGCTCAGCTCCGGGGTGTCCTTGGTGGGGTTGTACAAGATGGAGACGAGGGGCCTGCCGGGGACGCCAATGTGGCTCCGCAGCCGGGTGATGAATGTGGGGACGTGGGTCGAAATCAAAAACTGCCTTTACGACGACAGGATATGCTTCGACATGGAATATCGATCCTCCCAGTTCACCTCTGGTGATTTCACCATGATGAAGCTATCTGCAGTAGAGGTAAACGAAGAACTCTACCAAATCAAAGAACAATAACGAAACTATCAGAGAAACTAACGATCATCCTTTTTTTCCTGCCCAAAACAAGTCCGGATGCTGTAAGCCACCAGAGATCTGCGGAATGGAGTACGTGAATGCTACATATTGGACATCTGCGACGAGGAAGGATGCCAACGACAAGAGATCGGTTAGAGATCCAACACCCTACGGTTCGTATGATGACTGCCATGTCTGGAGCAACGATTCTACGGTCCTTTGTTACAATTGTGAATCATGCAAGTCGGGCTTCGTGAGGGTCATATCCCACAGGTGGAGGAAAGTTGGTGTTTTCCTTATGGTTATGTCGATACTGTTTGTGATCGTCCATACCGTACGGTTCACCGTCCTTATGTTAGATAGATACAGCACTCACTAGGGACTAACAGCAGTTCCATTTGCTTTGGACTTCCGAGGAGGGTAGCTGAAGTTGTTCTTCTTCCTTCGAGTTCATCATGAAGAAAGCATTTCTTTTAATTTGCTTGTTAACCTACGCTGCATGCAACAACAGTGGCATGAACCTTCACAATAACCATTCTCAGTTTCATGCAAAAAACAAGATATCAGATAAGAGTAAATAAAAGATAAAGGAGAGGGAAAGTGAGAGAGATGAAGAAAAGAATGAAAAGATAGATCTTATTATCAAACAGTTACATTTGCTATATCTTATGAGTGCAACCAAATGCCAAGAACTATTTGATCTCAAAGATAATTGCAGTTCGAATTCCAATATTTTCAGTAGTACCTATATATTACAACCAGGGAAATTAAGGGCCTAATCAAAGATAAACTAAAGAAAAACCAAAATCCTTAAAGAAAAGATATTTTTCTGGAACCATTTATCTATTATGTCATTGAAATTGCCTGTTGATCCTGAAGTAGCAGTAACTCATATGGATTTGGCTCTGCAACTGATGGTGGAACAAAGTTGTAAGTTACAAGCAATATAAGGATCAAACCTAACCTGGAAAAAAGAATACTCACTCCATTAGACATCATGCGACTTCAGAATTATAAGATGGCAAATTTAGTTTATGGTCTCGGATTATTGACTGATAGAGAATCATAGTGGATTAAGTCATGAAATGCTATGCAAGAAGGCTAAAAGAATTAATGGGATCAATCTAAAAGCAAATAACTTGTAGAAAAAAAAATTATTCAGCGACTAATTTGTTAATGGTGTCACATAATAAACACTTGTTTTGATATCACATAAGATTTGTAAGAAAACACAAATGTACTTGTCTTCGGCTTTAAATTCAATAAAAAAAAATAATGGAACAAAAACAAATGCTTAGCATTTAAGAAGTTAATACTTGTGGCATGTCGAACACCACAGGAAGTATATATATACATATGTATGTGGTCCATATCAAATGAATGTACTTTTTATGTATCATATCAAATGAATTTTTCTCACTAATTTTCAATTTGCATCTTTCTATGTGGTCCAACTAAAAGAAGGTATAGAATTACTACAAATGACACTAAGAGTGAAATGATATGGGATAAATAATTATAAAAAGATAATCCATCCTTCTTAAAGCCAATCTTAGGCTTCACTAAGCTTCCTTAAAAAAAACCATCCATCCTACTTTTCTTTTTAGTCACAATTATTTGATAATTTTGAATAAAAATATAAAAAAATTGATTTGATCAAGAGAGATGAATAACTTCAATTAAATCAAGAAGCATTATAACACCCTCCAAAGGAGTCTACAGAATTTATATTCAAAATTATCTCAGCAGGAGATTTCTTTGGTCTTTCGATGCTTTGAGACTTAATCTAAAAGCATCAAAAAGACCAAGGAAGTCTCATATGTTCTTTCCATCCTCAATTATTGTAGTTTATTGGATCATCAAAAAATTATTGTACTTTATTAGATAACTAAAAAAATATTTTTTTTATTTATATGTTAGAAATATAATCTTTAGCACCTAATGTTGGTGATTCTAATCGAGGTAATTGATCAGACAACACGATCCAAATTTAGACGACATTGAGCTCTGAATCTCGATTGAAATTGTTATATCAATATTTGTATGTTTTGTTATCGTGATAATCATGTGTTCAACTTAGGTAGAGAATAAATATTGTTCCCATTGATGATGATAAAAAAATATATCTTATACAATTTTTTTTAAAAAAATTATTTGTTATTTAATATACTTTGTAAAATAACAATAACAAATAAAGAGGACGGCCTCCGAGCATCATATTCCAGTCACACACACATTCGATAAAGTATGTAGCATCCATATCAACACGAAGATTCATGAGAATAAAGCAAAGGCAAGGCAAAGGAGGCTGCATATGCCGGCCATTATTGAATTCATCGTTGAATTGAAAGAGAGAGGAAAATGCTTCTCTAGGTTGGGTTGGGTTGGATGATGGATATCCACCTCACTTCTTTTGTTCTTTAAATTAAACGAGGAAGAAGAAGAAGAGGAGGACCACTCGACTTGTATGAAGTAATCCTAAAGGGAAATTACACCAAATTGGATTTTAACCCAACACACAGTCTCGTCTGAAAGAAAACAACGTAGCGTGGAGAGTAGGCAAAGAATGGGAATCTCATCAACTCACGCCTTATGTGAAAGGTATATATAATATGTAACAATACATAAATGCCATTTTTTTGCTATACCAAAACCCAAAAAGAAAAATAATCTCGTTTAAAATAAGAGTAAATTTCAGTACTAGTTTGAAATTTAAGTATAATAAATGTTTCAATTAAAATTTTATGTCTTATTAGTCAATAATTAAGACTAATTAAAACATTAATTAATGAGAAATCGATGTGAAACCCGATTCCCACGGCCGCTTGGGCCGTATCCCCTTGGGAGCCCCGAACGCGTTATTATTTGAGGCGGTGGATTGCCTTTGCCGCCCTATAAATGCGACATGGGCGACTCGCTCACCGCTCTCATCCCTCTTCCTTTGTCTTCGGATTGGTCGCTAGGGTTTCCGCGATCCGCCCCAAGCTTTTCTCTGCTGCTGATTTGGTTGCTAGGCTTTCGAGATCTCGCCGCAAAATTTCCTTGGGTTGCAGCGTTTCGCCATAGAAGCAGTCTCGTTTTGCTCCTTGGGTCGTGAGTTTTGACCATCCTTTGTTTCTTGTTCCTTTTCTACTTACGATTTATGTCTTAATCTTTGATCTACTTAATTTGTGCATGGTGTTGTTTAATTGATGCGATGTTTTCGTAAAAATTTTTCCAGAATTTGATGCTTCCTGTTTTTATGTTTTTCTCCATTCAAAATCTTTTTTTGTCATATAGATTTATGTTTATTACGACTTCTACCAAGCAGACGCTTTTCATCAGTATACTAAGGATTTTGCTTTTACAGGAGGTGTGAATGTTTAATGGAGTCTAAAGGTGGGAAGAAGAAGAAGTCTAGCAGTAGTAATTCGTTAGACTACGAAGTTCCACTTGGCTACAGCATTGAAGACATTCGACCGCACGGGGGAATCAAGAAGTTCCAGTCTGCTGCTTACTACAACGTAAGAATCACAATGAGAAAGAAAAAAAGTAAAATTTTCCAATTTGTTGATTGATTCCTAATTTGTTGTTTTGATTTCATTGTCTACAGTGCGTGAAGAAGCCATCCTGATAGCCTTTCAGATTTTTCCCTCTTCAGTAGAGCAAGGGTATAAATAATTTGACTTCTACTGTTTTGAGAAATCCTTTTGGCTAGCTGCTTTCCGATAACCATACTCTCCTACCAAGCTTTTTTCTTGTCACCGATACTCCCTCTCCTTTCCCCTGTCCCATTTCCTGTATTCGATTCGATGGCAGTCATAATGAATGGTTCTCCAAGTCCTCCCTCAGTGTCACCGATTGGATTTGAGGGATACGAGAAGCGTCTTGAGATTACATTCTCAGAGGCACCTACGTTTGTGGACCCCCGTGGTAGGGGATTGCGCTCCCTTTCACGGGAGCAGATCGACTCTATTCTTGATTTGGCACGGTGCACAGTCGTATCGCAGCTCTCAAACAGTGAATTCGATTCATATGTCCTCTCGGAGTCGAGTCTTTTTGTTTACCCATATAAGATAATTCTCAAGACATGTGGGACTACAAAACTGCTGCTGTCCATCCCCAGAATTCTTGAGCTTGCTATGGAGCTCTCGCTCGCTGTGTTATCTGCAAAGTATTCCCGCGGAACCTTCAATTTTCCTGGTGCACAACCATCTCCACATCGTAGCTTCGCAGAAGAAGTTGCTGTCCTCAATCAGTTCTTTGGCAGCCTTAACTCGGGTGGCAATGCCTACGTGATGGGTGATCCAACAAAGCCGAATCGCAAGTGGCACATATATTATGCAACACAGAAAGCTGAACTGCCAATGGTTACTTTAGAGATGTGCATGACTGGGCTGAATACTGAGAGAGCATCAATCTTCTTCAACAATTCAGTGGATGGCTATTCTTCTGCTAAAGAGATGACGAAATTCTCTGGCATTTCTGATATTATATCTGAGATGGATGTATGCGACTTTGCCTTCGAACCATGTGGATATTCGATGAATGGGATTCATGGCCCAGCTCTATCTACGATCCATGTGACCCCTGAGGAAGGTTTCAGCTATGCTAGTTACGAAGCAATGGGGTTCAACCCATCATCCCTGGTGTATTCAGGCTTGATCAAGAGGGTCCTTAAGTGCTTTGGTCCATCAAAGTTCTCTACTGCAGTTACTATCTTTGGCAGACATGGGTTGTCTGGCACATGGGGAAGGAAGCTTGATCTTGATGGTTATGCCTGTACTGATCTTGTGGAACAGGAGCTGCCGGGAGGTGGGCTGTTGATTTATCAGGCTTTTGCGGTCTCTGCTGTGACTGTCGTCTCCCCTAGATCCATCCTGCATTCCTGTGACAGAGACCTCAAGTATGACAATAGAGGAATCCACTGGGAAAATGAAGAAACAGAGGGAGAGGAACCTAAGATAGGATCATGAAAGTAAGGTTGGTAGTGTTTTCGAGTTTGGTTTGTTTTGTCAAGCAGCTAGCCAAGGTTACTAGTGTTAATGTCTATGTGAGAGTCAGCATCAATGCTCTAGGTGGCTTGCTGTGTGTCTGCCATGATGAGCAGTGCTTGTTTGAATCCAAAACCTTTGTCAAAGTGCTATTATCAAATAAATCCTTGTGATCCTTTTTTTCTGTTATCTGGAATGTGTCATCTCTTTGTCACCTGTTACTGTGGTTGAAATATGATTATGGAATGTGTGATACAGTTGATCTGTTCAGCTTTATGCTCCTGTGTTGGATCCTACTTGCATTGTAATGTTTATATTCAATTCATTCAAGTACTTCTAATGGATGAAAGCAACATCTGCAGGTACTGTTTAAGACAGTGCCATGAGGACCCTCTTTAAGAAATGGTAGCACTATTGCCAGAACAAAAATCATCTGCGATCTGTAGTATGGTTTTTCGAATCCAAGGATGCCTATTCAGAAAAATTGATGCTTCGAGTGGATCATTTGCCGTGGTAACTTGTTCAAGAATGATGCAACACTTAATTCTATTATACACACATGAATATATATATATATATATATATATATATATATAT